TTTTTGTAGAACCGGGGATTGAACTCAGGCCCTTGTGCTTGCCATGGAAGCACTTATTCTACTGAGCCATCTTCCCAGCCCCTAGTTAAAGATAAATAAATACTTAATTCCTTGCTTTGTAAAGGAGCATAGAGTTTAGCTTGCTATGTACAAGGCATGTCTATGATGGAGAACTTGTCATTCAAACTTAGGTGTTCTGTGAGGAGGTATTCTGGGAAATAAGAGCAGCCACTTGGCATTCTGGGTAAAGACCATGAGCCAAACTCCATCGCTCTCTTAATTCTCAAGGCAATCATACCATAGGCAGGAGCTATTTTTGCTTCACAGTGTAGTTGGTCAGGTATGAAATACTAGGTTTCGCCTCATCTTGTTTTCCTTCCTGCCCTCAGACCTGCAATGCTTCTTTTGCTACACGAGACCGTCTGCGCTCCCATCTAGCCTGTCATGAAGACAAGGTCCCCTGCCAGGTGTGTGGGAAATATTTGCGGGCAGCATACATGGCAGACCACCTGAAGAAGCACAGCGAGGGGCCCAGCAACTTCTGCAGTATTTGTAATCGAGGTAATCTCCCTCCTATTTCCTCACTTCTGGAGGAGCCTGAACTTGTGTTGGAAGCCCAAGGGTGTCTTGATCACCCTGCCTCCCGCTACACCCTGCACAGCCCTCTTTTCTCACTGAATGACAAACGTTTTCATCAACCCAGCTAGCAGTTCGCACCCCCTTCCTTCCCAAGAAGCTTGGAGTGCTTGGCATGGGAGGTCCCAGGAGACCAGCAGATAGGACTGAGACAAGTGATTTCCAGGCTTGGGCCTAAACATACCTGCCACTGAGGTGGTAGGATGAATGCATTTTGTAAACAATGCTAAACTATTGTGGTTCATAGGGGAGTTGTTAGTTTCCAAAGTGGGGCAAAAAGGGGTCCTGCTTCAAAGTTTTTTTCTGGCTGGTTCACTGGCATGTGCAATTCAGCTGCCAGGAATGAGGTTGAGTCTGGAGAGGTAGACACTTATTAGCACAAATGGTCAGCAGAGACCCCAAATTCAACTAGATTGGGACCTTGGCAAGAGAGGAAGCAGAAGATGCTCTGAGCAGGACAGTGTGCTTGATGAAGAGGTTGGCCTAGGTTGCATCTAGTGGTGGCAGCAATGTTGTGATAGATGAAGTCAGTCTTAGCCCTGAGGTTCTACTGGGTCTAGCTGGCTGTTGGAATTGCTGGAAGTTTGTGTTTTGCAAGCAGTGTCAGTGGGGGATGATTGGTCCATATTTGTGCTGAAGGAGGTTGGAGCTGCTATCAATGTGGATGTAAAGGATGCTTCTGCATGGTGCGCTTGCTTTGGTCAGGTGGGGGTGTTGCTGGGATGTCCTTAATCTTCTGGGGCACTCGTTCTTTTTTTTTTTTTTTTTTGGTACTGGGGATCGAGCCCAGGACTCCGTGCTTGGTTGACAGGCGCTTATGTTGCTGAGCTATCTCCCTGGCTCTCCTTTCTTTTTTTCGGTACCAGGAATTGAACTCAGGACCTTGCACTTGCCAGGCAGGCACTGTGCCAGTGAGCAATATCTCCAGTCCTCCTGGGGCATTCTTGTTCCAACATTACTGAGAGTCTGAGCTATGCTTTGGTGACCTGAATGCAGATCTGGGAGTCAAAGGACCTTGGGTTTAGTCTTAGGTGGTCACTGTGTGGCCTTGAGCTCTCTCTTCCCCCCTTTTTTCTTTCTCTTCCCCTTTCTAAGCCTCAAATGGGGTTAAGAACCACCTCTTTTCTTATGTCACAGAATTGTTTGAGGGTCCCAGGAGACAAGGTAGGTAGTTCTCTGCACTCACTAAGGTGAACCCTTATGCTTTGTACTGATGGTAGGGAAGATGTTATTTGCTGAGATTCTGTTTTAGACAAGGTACAGTGCCCCCTACAGGCCTTGGCTGGACTCACTGGGTGTCTGTGCCGTTTCCATGTGCCCTAAAGTTCTCCGGGGAGGGAGATCTCCAGGTACCTGGGAGCCTGTAGTGTCCTGCAATTGAGTGCCTCCTTGATACTGTACACCTTGCGGATTTTCATGATGGCCACTGAATGTCCATGTTTGTTCCACCAGGAAACCTGATGTGAAAGTGGAGCAATGGTAACTAAAGCTGCTTAAGCTGTCGGTCCTGTTTTCTGACATGTCACAGCCCATTCTGGTGGGAATGTCCTCTGGGGAACAAGCAGTGGAGTGGGATGTGGGTGAAGAGTTATCAGGATGGCCTTTACTAGAGCTGCCCTAGCCCTGAAAAAGTAGGTTTCTTTTCTTCCTTCATCCTGATCTGGCTTCCTGGTGAATAACTCTAAATCCTCTGTGATGTGTCATTAGCAGGCCTTTTGTTGAGTTTTCAGTGTTCAAGTTCCCAGTCCCAAAACTGGAGTCAGATACTACATGCTGAGAACCAATAAGAGTAGAGAAAGACGCTAATGACAAAACCTAGAAGGCCTAGCCCAGATGGGAGAGTAGGGCAAGAGCTGGACAGGAGACCTAGGGCTCTGGGAACCCAGCTCAGGAGAAAAGAAGAGCTGATAGCAGCAGAGACCAGCTGGGAAAGTTGACCCATTTAGGAGAGAGCTGATGTGGCAGAGTCAATAACTGTTGTATGTCAGGATTTTTTTCCCTGAGAGCAGATAAAGAGGAATTGGGCAACAGCCACAAACTGTGGGCTTGGGGTGGGAGAATGCAGAAGAGTAAAACCAGAGCCTACCTTTTCTCAGGAAAGCCAACATTAGATCTGGATTATAGGCTAAACATCTTTTGGGTCCATGATCAAAGTAGGAAGTCATTCCTCTAAGGAGATGAAAGAAGCTGGAAGTTCATCGGATTTAATCTTAACTGTTCTAACCAGCAGGCTAACTTTTTCAAGCCTTTTGCTTGAACCTTTACAGAGTTAAGAGAATTCTTTTTTCCCCCAGTGCTGGTCCAACCCACACTGAGTACTTGGAAAATGGTTTTAGTGTTTTATCAGAAGAGGAGGAGCAGGTTGCTACTCCTGGTCTCATTTCTGGCATGTTGATGCATCCTAGTAATCCCAGCACTCGAGAGGGTGAGGCAGGAGGATTCCTGCAAGTTTGAAGCCAGCTTGAACTACATAGTAAGACCCTGTATTAGAACATTGGAATCAGAATCCAGAGAGCTCTGTGTCATCATTTGTCCCCAGATTACCAAAGCTTTGCTCACTTTTTTTTTAATGCTACTAGAGACTGAACCAAGGAAGTATTGAGCTTTATCCCCCACCCTTTGTGTGTGTGTGTTTAGGACAGGGTGTACAGGGTCTCACTGTGCAGATTGGACTCAGTGATCCACCTGTTTACAGCCTCCCAAGTGCTAGGATTACAGGTCTCAATTGCCATGTCAGTGTGCTCTGGGGTGGGGCCAGCACGGCAGGCCAGGGGGATCGAACTCCCGGCTCCTTCGGCTAAGTAGATGCTTTAATCTGCTGAGCTATTTGGCTGGCCCCTGCGTCTAAGTAGATGCTTTAATCTGCTGAGCTATTTGGCTGGCCCTCCCCCACCCTTTTTTGAGACAGTGTTTTGCTGAGTTGCTCTGGCTGGCCTTAAACTTGTGATCTTTCTGCTTTGGCTTCGTAAGTAGCTGGGATTACAGGCATGTTCCATTGCATCTGACCAAACTGAACATTCTTTTAGCTGGGAGTATAGCTCAGTGGTAGAATCTTTGTCTAGTATGTATTTTATGCTGGGTTCTGTCCCCAGCACTGGTGGGGAAAAAGAATTCTCTTAGCTTTGTAAAGGTTCAAGCAAAAGGCTAAAGTTAGCCTGCTGGTTAGAACAGTTAAGATTAAATCAGGTGAACTTCCAGGTGCCTTCTGGGATTCTTCAGTCACTAATTGTTCATCAGCAGCTTGGCATGGTGGCACATGCCTGTGATCCCACTACTTGGGAGGCTGAGACAGGAGAAACATTGTGAGCTCCAGTCCAATCTGGGCTATAAAATAATCTCAAGGCCTGCCCAAACTGCTTAGTGAAACCCTGTCTCAAAAATAAATAAATAAATAAATAAATAAAATAAAATTAATTGTTGACCAGTCAATTATCTAATGACCGGGGCTGGTGAGATGGCTCAGTGGTCTAAAGCACCTACTTAGAACAAGCTAAGCTCAAGCAAAGCACAGAGACCTCGGTTCAATCCCCTAGCACCACATGCTGGCCCGCCCGCCCCCTGGTGGGCTGAGCTGGCCACACACTAAATAAATAAATAAATAAATATTAAAAAAAAAAATATCTAATGACCTGCCTTAACATAGTGTTTGGCTCGAAAATAGCTCTTTGCTATCAAGAACGGTCAAGAAGGAAGCACCCCTAACTCCACACGTGGGTCATGTGCAAGATTAAAAGACAGATGACCCATTGTCCTACAGAGATATCAGGTCATATGTTAGAGGATGATCTTTTTTTTTTTTTTTTTTTTGGCACAACCAGGGATTGAACTCAGTCCCTTGCGCTTGCCAGGCAAGCACCTATTCTACTGAGCTATCTCCCCAGCCCCAGATCATTTCTCATAAAGGGTCTGTTATGGCTAGAAAAGCTTGTTCCCACCTTCCGAGGTTAAAGAAATCAGTTGGGTTGAATGGTGGAAAGGAGAGAAGGAACTGGCCTGGTGATTTTCTTCTTTTTACAAATTTTCTGTAGCAGAGTATTTGTACATATTTGTATGTCCTGGGAAGTGAGAGAGTTTGTCAGGAATCTGTCTTTATGTGGATTCAAGCATCTTTGGCTGAAAGGTGAGCTCGCATGTGCACAGAGGCAGGCAACCTGCATTCCTGTGGACTGACACAGTCCCACCCCTTACACAGTTGTATGTGGCCCCTCCAGACTATGGCCATGGAAAAAGCAGTCTCTAATCCTGCGTAGATGTGGAAACTGCCAAAGGGGAATTTGTGTCCGGTCTGTGAATTGCACGGGCACCAGGCAAGAAAATGCAATTGAGAAGCAGTAGTCTTTTGCTAATAAACTTTCCTCTCTGGAGTGAGATGGAGGGTGGCTTGCTGGTTGTTTGCTAATCACATGTGTGCTAAGCGTCTATCATGTGGGTGTCTGGATCAAGCTGATTCTTTCTCAGCTAATCAGTGGTGAATAAGGTGGGGGAATTTAGAATTCTGGCTCAACATGTCTGGCTTCAAAGATGTGTTCTGTTCAGAAACTCAGCTTCTGTTTCACCCCAACACTTGGCTCCCGAGTTGCTCTGTGTTTAAATTTTAGGTTTAAACCACTGTGCCAAGTGGTTTCGCTATAGATAGTATAGTCTACAGCTGGGGTAAAGTCAAGAGGACCCAGCCATGTGTTTCTCAGACTGTTTTTCAGAAAAACACAGGGAGTTTTTATTGAGCATCTGCTCTGCTGTATTCCTCGGGTACAGCTTTCCCTCCAAGGAGTAAATATAATAATTCCTGGGTTCTTCCCTCTCCTTCCCCATCCACTCTGATTGCAGTGGACTTGCCCTCGCACACCATGGGGAGGGCTCTGCACTACTTCAGAAGCCTTGAATTAAAAACCAAAGGAAAAATTCCATTCTAAGATGGCATCACATTCCAAAAGTTTTTTTTTTTTAAATTTATTTATTTATTTATGTGTGTGTGTGTGTGTGTGTGTGTGTGTGTGTGTGTACCGTGTGGCCAGCTCAGCCCACCGGGGGGAGGGGCTGGCTGGCATATGGTGCTGGGGATTGAACCGCAGTCCCTGTGCTTTGCTAAGCTTGTTCTAAGTAGGTGCTTTAGACCACTGAGCCATCTCACCAGCCCCCCCAAAAGTTTTGATATCTTGTGATGGTTGCTAGGGCCCGGTGTCTCCCTGTTGCACTTGGTTTTATCATCCCCACAGGGCTGATCTAAGAGGCAGAACTGAGAACCTCTTTTTCATTGGCCTTGTCTACTCATCCCTGACTGCATCCTCCCTCTCAGAATGTTTATGTGAGCGCAGTCCTCCTGTCCCCCAGTCACTGCCCCCAGGCTAATCACTGAAGTTACTGTGTAAGACAACTAGCTCTACTAGACACAAGGGGGGAGGGGGGGGGACCAGTGCCTCAGCCCGGTGACTCTTTGAAGTAGCTGTGTTAGAAAACGAAAGAAAATTTTCCTGATCCTATATTCCTGTCAGAAACCACCAGATGCTGCTATAGGGAGTATTTGTTAAATAAGCTTCCCACAGGCCAGCCCTCTCATCTACTAGCACTTTCTATTACCGCAAACCATTAGTGATGATGAAACTTACTGCAAAAATTCAAAAGAAGTTTCTAGGCCTCAGGGGCAAGACACAGGACCATGTAAGGGTCTTGCTGGTGATTAAAGACCAAGTTCTAGGGGGCATATAGACCTGGGACTTCATGGATTCCAGCCCTGATACTTAGTAGCAGTATTGTATAGGTGACTGAAAGTTACTTCACTTCAAACCTCTTGCATCTTTCTCTTTAAAATTGATATAATAGGGGCCGGGGAGATGGCTCAGTAGAATAAGCGCTTGCCTGGCAAGCCCAAGTGTCAGTTCAATCCCTGGTTCTGCCCAAAAAATAAATAAATAAAATTGATATAATAGGGCCGGGGAGATGGCTCAGTGGAACAAGCGCTTCCCTGGCAAGTGCAAGGGTCTGAGTTCAATCCCCGCTTCCGCAAAAAAATAAATAAATAAATAAATAAATAAAATTGATATAGTAATAACTCCTAAAGCATAAGGTGTTTGGGGAATTCTTCAGAATAGTGCATGTATGGGTTAGGGATATAGCTCTTGGCACAACATCTGTCTGACAAGTGTGAGGCCCTGAGTTCAATTCCCAGTATCAAAAAAGAAAATATCAAAAAAATAAAAATAAAAAAATTTAAAAGCCCTTTAGAACAACACATATAATATACTGGGGCCCAGTATACCATCAGCATTTGCTAAAGATGAAGCTTTAGGGCCTGGGAAATAGCTTAGTGGTACAATGCCTGCCTGGCAAGCATGAGGTCCTTAGTTTGAGTCCTAGTGCCAAAAAAAAAGATGAACCTTATGACAGTTGTAGCAGCATTCAAAATGCTATGCCAATTCAGATGTTTGTAAAAGTTTCATGCAAGCATTACACAGTACGCTCCAGCCTCTGACCCTGTAGCAGAGGATCTCCCTGTGATCCTGTGTCTGTATAATTTTTAAAGGGAATGGAAGTACTGAGTGTTTGTTAACCAGACCCAGAGCAGCACCCCAAGGGGGCCTTAAACTAAAACCTTTGGTTCCTGCTAAAGGTACTCTCTGATCCTTGGTCACAGTGGAGTTTGATGGGATCGTTCCTCCTGTGAAACCCAAGTTGAAATCCCTTTACTGCCTACCTGATTCAGTATCCTTGGAGCCCGAGATATCTTAGAGCTCAAACTGACCGAAGCATCTAGGAGGAGCTATAGCAGGGACAAGACTGCCTGATTGTCCCTGTTAAGTGAGCCTGGTGGTTGCTCCACACTAGATGAAAAAGACCACCATGGATAAGATGACCGTGCCCCTTCAGCATAACTTCCTACTGTTCTTCAAAGGGTCTAAGCAGTCACTAAAGGAGTTACTCTGAAGGCAAACAAGTTGGCAAAACAGAACATACTTTTTTTTTTTTTTTTTTTTTAAATGTATTTGGTACATGGTACAGCGTCTCACTACACAGCTTGGACCCATAGTGATCCTCCTGTTTTCAGCCTTCCCAGCCAGGTCTTGGTGGTTGGCTCAGGGCGCTGGGGTAGGGGCTGCCATGGTGGTGCTGGGGAGCTATCTCCCAGCCCTAACAGAATATATTCTAACAGCCTAAAGAGGAACCCCTGGAGGCATTCTTTGGGGATTCCATTTTACCTTCATCTGGATTGGTATCCAGCTTTCCTTTAACAACTGTTAAGTAGTCATTCTGCTGGCTGGAGGCCTGTGGCTGCCCTGTAGCCCCATGTACTTGTCTGATCACATTTCTAGCCATGGTCCTACAGCTGACCTGGGACTGTGCAACATCCATTCAAGCCTCTCTCTCTCCCTTTCTCTCTCTCTCCCCCTTCCCTCTCCCCTCTCATGTCTCTGTCTCTCTTCTTTCTCTCTGCCTATCTGTCTTTGTCTCTCTGTCTCTTTCTCTGTCTGTCTGTGTCCCTCTCTCTGTCTCTCTGTCTGTCTGTCTGTCTGTCTGTCTGTCTGTCTGTCTGTCTGTCTCTTTCTCTCTCTCTCTACTTCTGTCTCTGTCTCTTTTAACCTTTGGCTTTTTGAGACAGGGTCTCACTATGTATTTCAGGCTGGTCTTGAACCTACTTATATAGCCCAGGCTGGCCTCAAACTCCTGCCTCAGCCTCCTGAGTGCTGGGATTATAGGTGCAAGCCACCACGTGTGACGTCTTGTCCTTCTTCCTTCCCTTCCTCCCTCCTCTCTCTGTCTCTGTCTCCTTGTTTCTTTCCAGTATTAAAGGTTGAAACCAGGGCCTTCACACTGAGCTACATCCCCAGCCCTTTAATGCCTTTTTAAAAAGTTATTTATTTATTTATTGGATACAGGGTCTCACTACATAGTTTGGATGTATAGTGATCCTCCTGTCTCAGCTTCTTCAGCACTGGGATTATAGGTGTGCGCCACCATGCTTGGTTTCAAGGCCAGTACAATGCATCCAGGACTACAGGGCCCACACGGCATGCAGTACCAGGGACTGAACTCAGGTCCTTGCACTTGCCAGGCAGGCGCTTAGACAGCTGAGCTATCTCCCCAGCCCACCAGCCCTTCATTTCATTTTTATTTTGAGACAGGGTCTCACTAAGTCACTGAGTTGCCCCTGTGGGACTGAAATTTATAATATTGCTGCAGCTTCCCAGAGGCTGTGCATCACCATATCCGGCTCTAAACCTCTCGTTACCATGGCACCAAGCAAGCCCAGAGGCAGCTGGCCTCTGGCCCTAGCCAGGGCAGGACTTCAGGGCATCCTACCAGGCAGCCAGCCTGGGCCCTTCTATACAGCCTTGCAGAGTGTACTCTACAGAGAAGCTAACTTGTGCACATAGCCAATTTTCATCCCAACCCATGTGGTTCATGTGGTTGTGCTGTCTCGAACCAAGGAGGGGACCCTCTTTTAGGTGCAGCTGACTTGGGAGTAGTAGCCAGAGCGGCCAGAGACCAGGGAAAGCAGAGAGGTACCTCTGGTTGGCCACGGGATCTCATCTCCTTTTGTCTTGTTTAGGTTTCTCCTCTGCCTCCTACTTAAAGGTCCATGTTAAAACCCACCACGGTGTTCCCCTTCCCCAGGTCTCCAGGCACCAGGAGCCCATCCCGAATGGGGGAGCAGCGTTCCACTGCGCCAGGACCTATGGCAACAAAGGCAAGCGACCCCTTGCTCTGCACTTTGCTTTTCTGCGCAGACTGTGTTGTGGGGGCGCTGGGCCGGGCATGGGGAACCTGGATGGCAGTGGCCTCCAGGATAGATGTCACTGTGGGTACCTTGCTCCAGGCTGGCGAGTGAGGCAGTAGGGCAGTGCCAAGGTCCAGCCCCTGCCTCCTCTTTCCAGTCCTCCTTTCTCCGTCCTGGCCAGCCCCTGCCATCTGAGCCTTGCAGGGATGCCCCGGGCGCGGGGCAGGAAGAGGAACCTTGCATGATGAGTCACTCTGGACCTGTCCATTGCCTGCTGCCCTGTAGGATGGTGTGCAGCTGCAGCAGAATGCTTTCCCCTCCGTTGACCTTTGGGTTGCTGGGAGCCAGTGGCTAGCTTCTCCCACACTAGAGGTGGCTAATTGTTGTGTGTGGCCCTTTCAGAGAGTCTCTGGCTGCATTTGTGAGATGCATGGCAATAAATAGCTACCTGATTGCTGCTGACTTGCATTGGGTGGCAAAGAGCTCCCCAGGGCCACTTTTGCTTGTTGATTCAGGTTGTGCTGCGGTGTGTCCTGTTGTTGCTGCCTCAGGATGAGGCCAGAGCTTGGCAGATGGTAGAGATGGCAGAGATGGCATGCTCCATGCTCCCATCACAGACCTCCCATCCCGGCATGGCTCTGGACCCAGGCAGGAAGCTGCTAGTTGGTAGAGGACTGTAGTGTGGGCCAGGCCATGTGAAGCAGTGAGAGTTGTCTTTTGGCCTAGCTTTTCCTGGGCCCTATGGGTGAGGATACCCAGCTGAGTTGTTCAGAGTGGTTTTTAATCTGTATGCTTTGGTTGCATGGTCCTGAAAGAGTTTTGGCAAAAGGAAGGTGGTAAGGGCTCTGTGTTTGGGCTGGTGTTTGTCTGAGCCGTGGATGGGGTTTGGCTGGGAGGAGGACCTCACTGTCGTGGTTCGGCCTATCTTGCAAGGGTTATAGTTAATCTGGTGCAGGAGACAAGGCCACTGTTATACCTGCTCAGCATCCTCACAAGAGCTATACCCCCAGAAGCACCCAACAGAGCACCTAGGAGTTGGGGGTCTTTGAGTTATTCTGACAGAAGCAGTAGAGGTCCCCCCCGTATACCCCTTCCCTGAAGCAGGCTGAGATATGGTGAGTGATACCTGTGCACATGCATGAAGAGACACCGCGAGGGAGGGCGGTGGCCCAGGATCTTGCTGTCTCACCCCCATAGGCACTCCAGGCTCCTGGACTGATCAGCTGAACCTCTGTGGGTTCTGCCAGGGCAATGGCTTCCCACTGCTGCCCTCCATAGGCCTGTGAATTGGCCTCTCATGACCCCTCCAGGAGGGGGCATCTCCAAAGCCTAGCCTCATCTCTCTCCTGTGTTTTGTTTTTTTCATAGAAGGCCAGAAATGCTCACATCAGGATCCGATTGAGAGCTCCGACTCCTACGGCGACCTCTCAGATGCCAGTGATCTGAAGACGCCAGAGAAGCAGAGCGCCAATGGCTCTTTCTCCTGTGACATGGCGGTCCCCAAAAACAAAATGGAGTCTGACGGGGAGAAGAAGTACCCGTGTCCTGAATGTGGGAGCTTTTTCCGCTCTAAGTCCTACTTGAACAAGCACATCCAGAAGGTTCATGTCCGAGCCCTGGGGGGCCCTCTAGGGGACCTGGGCCCTGCTCTTGGCTCACCTTTCTCCCCCCAGCAGAACATGTCACTCCTTGAGTCCTTTGGGTTTCAGATTGTTCAGTCGGCATTTGCTTCATCCTTAGTAGACCCTGAGGTGGACCAGCAGCCCATGGGGCCTGAAGGGAAGTGAGGCAAAGGCTGCGTCCCCACAGAAACAGCCTTCCGGGGACTGCCAAGAAATGCTGTGAATGCGGAGAGATGTGATGTCTTTGGGTTCTGTAGCTGAGAGATTTTTATTCATTTTTAACTCTTCCCCAACCCAAACCCTACTCCTTATCCACTACCCATTCCCCCAATGGTTTGTAGAAATAGATCTCATCTGATTCTCTGCAGAAATACCTGCAAAACCCAGTATGGGACAAAGGCAGAAAACACTACATGAGCCTCGAAGGCAACACCAGATCCGGTCTCTCTAATGGGTAGGAGCCGGAACTCCTGGTGCTCAATTCTTAGTGACTCTCCCAAACCCATTGGTATTCTGGGACTTCAGAGATTTTGGTCCCCTCCCACTTCTCTAATTCCTCATTTGCCTTTCCTGTTTGACCTCAAAAGAAATCACAGTAGGGTCTCTACCCACTCACACAACCTCAGTGGCCAACAGTTTTTAAAGAAGTCAGGCCTACAGCAATCCATGGACCATGGGGTGAGTGTCCTCCTAGAGTACCCTGAGCTTAGCCCCTGGGCTGGAGGGCCCAGACCTTCGCAAGCCCTGCTGAAAGCTAGCATTGTGCTTTTAGACAAGCTCAGTTATTGAGGATGCCTTCACCCCAAATTCCAGTTTTTACATGATTTTAACCTTTCAACTTGCTGTTGGGTTTTAATTCTCTAATTATTATTATTATTGTTATTATTTTTTAGGACCAGTTGTAGTGAATTGCTACTGAAAGCTATCCCAGGTGATACAGAGCTCTTTGTAAACCGCAGTCACACATTAGGTTTAGTATTAAACTTCGTTTAGGTGTACCATAATTAACTTGGCTAGTTGGTTGTTTGAAGTCTATGGAAGAAATAGTTTTATGCAAAATTTTAAAAAATACCAGTCTGGTCAGGAAAAGGTAGAGGGCTTCAGTGCTACTGAGAGCCAGAAAGTGGAGAGAACCAGTAGGTAGGGGAATTATGTACCTAGGTTGTGGCCCACGTGAGCAGGTCCAGGTTGAGCTTGTGATGTGAACTGACTGATCAGACTGTATTAAAAACATTAGTACCTTACTCTGCTTGCTCCTGAGTCCAGTTTTTCACCTGGGTGAGGAGGGTTGGGACCCAGAAATGGGCAGTCTGCACCCCTGTACTTGGGGTGGGGGTGGGATCCCCAGACACTTTTCCTCTTCATTACACCAGTTCTATTGGAATTGGTAGGTGGATGGTCCCCCTAAAGACTCAGCTGCTGGGGTTCATCTAGTTTTTTTAACATATACTCATTACTTGCCTTCACTGCATGTGTAGCCATCATGATTTCAGGCCCTGTGCTGAACAAGATACCCCACTAGGGCTCAAGGTCAGAGAAACAGTGAGCCTATGTATTTACTTATTTATTTATTGTATTTTTGAGACAGGGTTTTACTGTGCAGTTTAAGCTGGCCTTGAACTCGCTTTGTAGCCCAGGTTGGCCTTGAACTTGCTGCAGTCCTTCTGCCTCAGGTCCCAAGTGCTGGGATTATAGGTGTGTGCCAACAGGCTTGGCTAGTGAGAAGATTCAAATAGGAGTTTGAATAATGATAAGTATAAGGGACAAATCTAGGCATGGTAAGAAGTTAGTGACCATAAGAGGGTGAGTAGAGTGGTCCAAAAAGGTGTGAGGCAGAGTTTAGGATTCAGGGAGATAGAGATGAGCTGGGGTCAGAGTGGCTCCAACCCCCAGGACTAAGGATAGACCTGTGTGGGGAGGAAATCAAGGGGCTTAAAGCTCCGCAAGTTGAATCCCTCATGCTCATATTGTCTACATGATGCTATGCAAAAGATTATTTATGCCATTAGAACAGAATATATAAAGAAAAGGAGGCAGTAGCACAGCAAAAAGAGCAAGAAATAAGCATAGTGTTGTGCTTGGGAGGCTGAGGCAGGAGAATTGTCATGAGTTTGAGGCCAGCCTGGGATATATAGTGAGTTCAAGGCCAGCCTGAATTACAGAGACCCTGAATCCCCCCGCCCCCCAAAAAGAAGAAAGAAAAAGAAAGAAGCATAATGTAGAATTCATGGGAACAAGAGCAAGAAGTAAGGCACCACATCATTTTGAGAAAACTCAGGGAGAGGAAAACCTCCTGAAATAATAGAAGTAGCATTTAATCTCCAAATAAGAAAACAAAGAAGAGAGACATGAACAAAAACCTGAAGGAACAAACTAATCACAACATTACTTAGACCATACTGGTAATTACAGTGGTGCCTCAGTTTGTGAACTTGATCCTTCCCATGATTCTGGTTGCAAAACTGACTTGGATGAAAACCAAATCATTCTGTAGTTAGGTTCAGTGTTGACCTTATGAGGAAATTTGACTTGGTCCTCATCCAGCTTGGTTTACAGACAGAATCGTGGAGGGAAATGAGTTAGTAAACCAAGGTACTACTGTATGTTCTGGTTTAAAGTCAAAGCTGGGCATGGTGGTGCATACCTGTAGTCCCAGCACTCACAAGGCTGAGGTGGGAGGATCACTGCAAATCCAATGCCAGCCTGAATTACATGGTGAGACCCTGTCTTTTGTGTGTGTGTGTGCAGGGTCTCACTACTCAGCTTGGACTCTGTAGCAATCCTCCTGATTTCTGCCTCCCTAGTGCTGGGATTACAGGTGTGCACCACCATGCCTGGTCTCTATTGCTGGCTCAGCGCTCCCAATGGCGGGTCCCGTGCAGTGTACGGTGCCAGGGATCGAAACCTGGCCCCTGTGCTTACCTAGCCAAGTGCTTAGTCTGCTGAACTATTATGCAGGCCCTGAGACCCTGTCTTAAAAAATAAATTTAAAAATTTAGTTATTATTATGATGTTTGGGGTAAACTTCCTAGCTTTGGAGACTAGAATAGAGGCTCGGGCCATTTAAGGTGAGTAAGTAGATGAAAAGGTGACACTAATGCTAAGGCCCAATGGGTATGTGGCTTGGTGACCAGCACAGAATCTGCCAGCTGATCGTATCTGATATCTCGTGGGTATCTGAGTAGATAATCTGGCCTTGGGCCAAGGACTTGGCTGGGATGGCCTGCGTGTTTCTGAAGACATTGTTAGTCTGCCCTCCTGGAGACCCTTGGCCTTGCCTGTGGACAGAGAGGGTACAGGGTTAAAAAGAAGTACCTGTCACATGACGGGAAGGGAAGAACAAAGCAAGCTTGCAGCTGCTTCTTCCAAAGCATTAATCATCTGGAGAGCAGCAGCAGTAGCTGGTGCCCCTGCCTGCCCTCCGACCTCCCCATCTCCACAGCACAGGGAGGAAAACAGCAGCACATAGGTGCGTGAGGGGTCATGACTTCCACACGGTCCTGGGCAAAGAACCTGAGGTTTTGCTTAGTTCCAGCTGCTCACTCCAGGCCTGGGACAAATCTCTGAGCCTTAGTTTCTTCATCAGTCAAACAACGGAAGACTAAAAGGCATCTTGAGTGACAGATTCTGCACCTCATCCTTCGCATGACTTGTGAGGTTGGTCTAATTTTTATTCCGCTCCTATAGCTGAAGAACAGGCTCAGAGATGGAGGCCTTCCCCCTGGTCATGTAGTGAATAGCAGAACTAGGACTGTTTCATATGGAAAATTTCAAATGCTTATTTTTTTGGTAGCAGGGATTGAACTCAGGACCCAGCGCTTGCCAGGCAGGCGCTTATTCTACTGAGCTATCTCCCTGGCCCCAGAACCAGGATTGAAAATCTATCTTGACTCCAGAGCCTCTATTCCCAAAGTCCCAATTATAATTCTTTGATGTGCATGTAAGTCTCCAATACTCTGCAAATGCTTGGTAGAGGAAACTGCTACCTTGCCAGGTCTCCAGGATGAGGGCCTGCACAAAGGGCCAGCAGAAAAGCCACTGAGGATCAGAGGAAGGGCCCTACAGCTGTGTACGTGAGCATACTCTTCAGAGTCTTCCTCTGGAGTGATTTATACCTGTACCGAGGGTCCCTGGCTCCACTGGAGGAATGCAAGTGGACTTAGCCTAGGTGATGCTGCCTCAGCCTCCTGAGTGCTGGGATTACAAACATGTACCACCATACCTGGCTCATCTCTCTCCCTCTCCCTGTCCCTCCCTTTCCCTGTCCCTTTTTTTATTTTCTATTCAGTGCTTGGTATTGAATGCAGGGCCTCACACATGCCAGCAAAAAAGAACAATGAGCCACATCCCAGCCCAGTCAATCTCTTCTTTGAATGTATTTAGTACAGGGTCTCACTACATACATTGGACTTACAGTGATCCTCCTGTTTTAAGCCTCCCAAGCACAGGGATTATAGGTGGACACCACCACGCCCAGTCTCAGTTGCAATCTCAGTGTGCCCCGGGAGTGGGGCCACCTCGGCATGCTGGGGGATGAACCCTGGTCCCTGCACCTGCCTAAGCAGACACTTTAGTCCACTGAGCTATCTGGCTGTCCGCCACTTTTGTTATTTTGAGACAGGGTCTCACTATGTAGTTCAGGCCACTCTTGAGCTCACTACATAGCCCAGCTGGTCTCGAGTTTGCAGTGATCCTCCTCCCTCAGTTTCTCAAGTGCTGAGATTACAGGGGTGCACCATCAATATCTGCCCAGCAAATCTATGTAAAGAGCAAGGACAAACACTGTGTCTCTGATACATGTGCTCAGTGTTGTGGTACAGATAACACATTAGTAGGGCCAGTGAGATAGCTCAGCAGACTAAGCACCCGCTTAGGCAAGCACAGGGACTGGGGTTCGATCCCTGGCATTAAACTGGCCCTGCTGAGCCAGCCACCAAGTCCAGACATGGTGTCATAAGCCTGTAATTCCAGTGCTGGGGAGGCTGAAAACAGGAGGATCACTACAAGTTCGAGCTGTGTAGTGAGATCCTGTACCAAATACATTTTTTAAAAAAAGGATAGTAGATAATATATTAGTAATTGGGCATAGCTATATTCTAATAAAATGTCACTGATTGACTCTGAAAATTGAGTTTCATAGAAATTTATTTATTTTTATTATTTTTTTCTTTCTTTCATATAAATTTAAATGCTACAAAATATTCTTTGAGTTTTCTCAACAATTTAAAAACTTTGAGGGCTGGAGAGATGGCTCAGTGGTCTAAAGCACCTACTTAGAACAAGCTT